AATAATAATAATAATGAGGATTTTGTTGTAAACCAAGGCAAGAAATATTTGCTGTTTTTAACGCAACTTTTACAAAAAAAAAAAACCTGAGCTTAAATTACATTAATCACCTCAAACAATCTTTTAATGATGCATAAATTGTGTTAGAAGCATATAAAAATTTACAAACACTGAAAACCTGCATATTTGACAGCTATCATGACTTCAACAAAGAAACACAAATAAATGTTCAGGAGAAAAGTTTAAAGTATCAGAAATAGACTTTGGTCCAGTTTCCACTAAATATGACAAATAGCAGCTGTATAATACAACACTCCTTCATTTGAAAATGAGATGGCTCTGTCGGTTATACTGGCTTGTACAGAAGAGTGGTCACATACTTCTTTTTGTATCGGTGTGTCGCACTGAGAACCATCACCCCGTCCTGAACGAGAAAACAAACAAAGAAAAACTGTTGACTGTTTTTTATTTCTGAAGCTTTTCATTTAATCCAGATTTAATATTAACCAGTGAAAAACCCAAGTTTCAGTTTAGTACCTTGATGGAGAGGGCATACAAGTGATTGAGCATCACATGGTTGGGCTCTGGCAGCAGCGTCGGGTCACACTGAAAAAAACAAAAAACAAAAAAAAAACATAAAGCAGCATTATCTTATGTCATTACAGCGGTCTGTTTCTTCCATGTGGTGGGTGTTTAAGACGAGCACGTGCACCAGCATCTGTTCTGGACTCACAGAGACACCGGTGTCCTTGTTGAGCAGCACTTGGAGCAGGTGGGGYGGTAAGAAAGGAGGCTGCTTGATCTTGTCTTCTGGTTTAATTGTATATCCATCCTGTTGGTAGGGACCAGGTGGAGAACTGGACAAGTCTGGGAAACGATGATTCGTTAGATACAAGTTCATGTCCTAAGTATGGATAGTTTGTGTGACAAGTAATTAAACTCAGACTTTCTGGGCTGACTTTAGGAAACAAGATTAATTGTCTTTACCAGACAGGTCTGTGGAATCCTGCGAGTCGATCCTGAGGGCATCAAAGACTTCAAAGTCAGTTCTCTTCACCTGGATGACATTGTTGACTGTTCCAGTTTTAGAGGTTGTTACTGACTGTTAAAAAAAACAAGCAGACAAAAGAAATATCTGAGCTAGAGGTTATAGATGAAGCACRTGCATGGTGAGGAAAGTAAGCACTTATTTTTAACACTTTTGTAAAGAAAGATTACCTCTAACCTTTTAATCTTTACTCACCCCAGCTGGATCCAAAGTCCACTGACCGTCTACACAAAACTTGTACTGGTGCTCTCCCTCCGGCAGATCCACTATAACCACAAAGTTCTTCTGACTGCRAAACAACCACATAAAGTTACATTTAACCAAATACACAGCAGAACTGTCAAACAGAAGACAAGCTACCTTCTGTTGAGGGGGATCTTGGTGGCCCAGTTGTTAAAAGAKCCAGACACAAAGACCTCCTTAGCAGGACCTGTCCATCTGAACACTGTGGGTCGGGCCTGCGCTGGGCTTTTACTTTCGCAGTCGAGGTCCTGTTGCCACGCCAGAAACTCCTGCATGTCCGGCGAAGCCTGGGGTGAAAAACATTGAAGTTAAAGAGAACAGCTTGTGTTAGGGAGCTGCACTTCATGTCTGAACAGCCAGCTGGGATCAAACATTTTGYTTGATGCCGAGCCGAGCATATTCCATGAACTAAAGGCTAGACAGTACAAAGAAAACTATTTGAAATACACAAAACATCAAGGTTTGATTTCCTCCTAAAACCGATTCAGATGTGGGTGACATCAGAGCACATTGTGCCATCAGACTGTTTCACCTGGGGTGAACTTTGTTGTATTTGATGTTGTAGCCATTTCAAAACTCCAGCAAGCACTCCAACATTTAGAGTCTTGGCTCTAAATGTTGGATAAAAGACCTTAAATCCACTCCTTGTAGAGGAGATATCTGTGAAACATGATCTTTGAACCTAAACTGTTTTGATCAGCTGTTTTTCCTGAGAGGCAGATGATTCTGTAGCATATGTACATGTTGTATGGAAACTTAATAAATTAAGTAAACAACAACACAGCTACACATAGTTGGAGAAGTGCTTAACATGAGACTTTTTATTTGGTGCAGAGCATTTCCACTGCAAGGATTTTAAATTAATGACCAAGCTTTGGCTCCTGGAGGCAATATATCTATAATAAATATAACAAAAACAATCACTAGTATAATGTAGTGCTTTATTATAAGAGTTCAAGTGATTCACTTGTATACTTTATTACAAAAATACTGCACTTTAATCATGATATATAAAATTAATTTGTTTTTCATTGTGTTAACCATCAAACTTTCCAGACAAGCTGATGGGTCTGAGCTTGTAAAAGCCGTGTGGTACCTTTGGGTCGTCTCTGTGGAACAGGTCTGTGTCCTCGGTGCTGTCCATCATGATGTTGGGACGAGCTTCTTTCCCTCCGGGGTGTCCGTCCCTGAAGGTCCTCTCACCGCTGGAGCGATCGCTGCTGCTGTTCCCCATCCTGAACTGTGGGACCCGCGTCACACCAGACGAGTAGTTAGAAAAACGGGCCAGAAACCCACCTAAATCTTCCCAGGTGAAGTCAAGGAGTATGTTTGTGGTTCCAACTTGTCCGACCGAAGGTCCTCGCCTTTTCTTTTCTTTCTTTCTCTTTTTTTTTTTTTGGAGAAGTTTGAATCCGACACTCTTTGCTGAGTCCAGCGCACAATTATCGACCGAGCAGCTGAGTGTGGTTAACTTTGAGCTGAGGTTTCTACTTCGGTTCCTCTTACTTGTTTTCTTTAAGTGGTTATCAGTCCTTTATCGTCTGTTTTCGTCGTTCAGGACAGGAGGGGAGGACTWCAGGCTCCGTGAAGAAACACACCTCTTCCGCCTGCCGCCCCTCTCTCAGGGAGGAACCGCCAATGAGGCGTTACGCACGCTTCAGAAGATTGACCAATGAGGTACGAGCGTCAGGGAACGTGACGCCATATTGGTAGGGGCAGGCTGTAAATCGACACCGGACTGCAAGAGTGGTTATCACGTCCAAAATTAAGCATTCATGCAGCTGAATATTTTAAATATGTGGCACAGAGTAAGTTGCTCCACTCAAAAGCGAAATAACACCTGCGAGGAATGAAAATCTTTTTTTTCATCTAAAGCTGCCATAAGCAAAATTAAACGTTACGTGTCCTAAAGCCATGAACTGAAGCTATTTTCAGACAGTTTAGTTCTTATGTGGCACGAAGGTGTGTTTCATCTCGTGTGGTCAGAAAAAGGAAACAAAAACTAAAATGAAAAGCAAACTATTTTCTTGGCGCAATACATTTTGTAACTCGGGCAGGAATAAACATTTTACTTCCGGTGGCAATCCTGCATTATGCTGGCTCAACCACTGGATGGCAGAATTTACACACTTGTCAGCACTAAGGACAGCTTTTGCAGTGCCACACGATGATGAATATGCATGGTMCCTTTATGAAATGAATTAAAATTTCATATATATATAATTATTTTAATTGTATTTTTTTGTTGCAGACCTAACTACGCAGGCAGATAACTGACAAGGACATTCTTTGTTCTGCAAGCAACCTTTGGGCTTTGCAGTTCATTTTGAAGGAACACATGTTTGTGTTAAATGCCACAAAGCTGCAGCTACATAATGCAGAATCAATTATTTTTTGTGCTTCATTTTTAACAGCTCTGGTTTGTATTTAAACTATAGTACATATTTTATGTATTTTATTATTTAAGAATTAAAAAGATTATATTATCATTTTGAGCAAAGTATCTTTTGTGGCTCTCTTCAAAACGTTCCAATTAGACACCAAACACTCAAGTGTGCCCTGGGGTGGGCTACATGCAAATATACCCTTGTGTGAGATAGCATATCTGAAGCCATAATCTTTGTTTGGTTTCCACTCTATCTCAGAACTGTCTGATAATGAATAATTCGGTCTTAACATCAGCTAGAAAGATAAGGCTGTGACAAATGGTCCTCTTCTAATGCAATTTATCACACATGAGCCAAAGGCACTGTTAATTGTCACAGACTACGAACCAACTTCTGTTCAGTAAGACACTTAGGAGAAAGAGAGTATATTTAAAAACTGTTTTTTGGCCACTTTTCAAGGTTCATAATTTCTGTATTGAGCCAAAAAATATTCTCATTCACCTCAAAGTCAATAGAAGACAAAGTCCAATATGTCCTAGTTTACCACACTGCTYTGTGAACATAATTACAGGGATTTTAAATTGAACAATGCACTTGAGAAAAGAGGATTGTCTTTTCTTTATTTTCTTTTTATGTGTATAAGTCCACCAAAGCGTTCTTCCCTATAGGCTAATTAGTTCTCAAATTGGATGTGGAATTTCTATCCTGCACCTTCCCAGCTCCAGTTGTGCAAAATGGCACACAAGCTGCTATTGCACACACCTTTGGCTGTGAAAATGCTTTAGAAAAGGCTCTAATCCTTCTGTACTGCAGCAGCCAGTCCCAGGTGATAGCAGCCTGACGGGGCCATTTTGATGGGCTTGAGCATGAAAGCACGAGTTTGTGTATCTGCAAAGAGCTGCCGGGCTCCACAATCCTTCAAGACCTACCACCTCGGCCAGAAAACAACTCGCAAGCAGGAAGGAGAGAAAACAAAGACAAAAAAAATTACATATTAATAAAAAAAATCTCCCCTGCTTTTTCTAAATGTTCACTTTGAAGTAAAACTTTTCATTCAAAAACTRCTTTCTTTTGAGAACMAAGGWGGCAGTGTTTAAGAGATAAAATCATTAGGCGACTTTAGGTAWAACTGCTGTAATGTTTAGCCTTTATGCTGTGACCCAGTTAATGTTTGACACACAGTTTTAACTTTATCATTTAAATCCAAAAATTAAAATAACAATAATTTGGTAGGGCAAGATTTGTGCTTGTCAGTTTGCTGTTCAGACAATTGCTGAACACTCAGTTTATTAAAATGTTATTTATCGACTTTTAAACCTCTGTAATTTCACATTACATAGTTGTTTATTTAAACATTTACCCTTACTTGCAAGTAGAAATACCAACAACAGTAGCTTGCTGTTGACATTTGTTGCAGCTTGTGTTCAGCTGGATTACCATAACTGTATTTTTTGAGAATAACGTTATTTGAATATAATTGTGTAAGTCTTTTTAAAAACAGTAGCATAAACTACTATGACATTTTTGAGTGTGGCAATGTTAAAAACAAACAATCCACATTAGTCTTTCTTGAACTAGCCAGTACACTGTAAAAATAACTTGTAAGATTTACTAGAGAAAATCCTGTAAATGATTTGCACTAACGTTTCGTAAGTAAATTTAAATGCCACAAATTCATGTAATATTTACTCTCATCATTATCTAGTAAAAGTTATTAAGAATAAAGTTAAAAATTTGTGAATAAATCAGGTAAATTTTACTTAATTTGCTCAATTAAATCTTGTAACATATACTTGATCAAATTAAGTAAAATTTACTTGATTTATTCACAAATCTTTAACTATATACATGATAATTTTTATTAGATAATGATGAGTAAATATTACTTGAATTTGTAGCATTTAAATTTACTTAACTAACGTTTGTGCAAATTGTTATAAGGACTTTTTCAAGTAAATCTTAAAAGTTCTTTATAATAGTGCACATGCGTCAAGCACAATTTTGTAGCCTGACACCTCACAGCTACAGAGAGAGGTGTAGCTCATGTTGTAGATCAAGACTTCACCACMAGGTGGCAGTTTTGAAGGATCTTTATTGGATTCTTCTTCATGAACAAAACAAACAAACTGAAACTCACAGGTCTTATTAATGACTAGGCCTACCACTCTCACTTATGGTTACTTCTGCTGAACAGTTTAACACAAGTTAACAAATAATAAACACTCAAATTAGAGTAACACAACAKACTAATTGCTGAAAGAACAATGTTAACCAATTCCCTAAAATTATTTAACAACAACAAACATGAGAGAGTGAATGCTTGTTTGTCTCGTTTGTCTCTATGTGTGGCCCTGTGATGGACTTGTGACCTGTCCAGGGTGTACCCCGCCCCTCGCACTGTGACTGCTGGATATGGGCACCAGTGACCCACGCAACCCTGAAAAGGAAGAAGTGTGTACAGAAAATGGATGGATGAAATGGATGGATACATTTCTTATAATTCATTGTAAGGCGTATGAAGGCAGGTCCCATTTCTTACTAAATGAGGAAGCCCATTGGGTTTTTCTGCTGCAAGAGAACATGTCAAGTAAAGCCAGAGGCCCAGCGTGTGGGTCCAAGGGGCACACGACTGACATTTCCAAGGACCTCCAGGGTCACAGTCAGAACCTAAAAGCTGCCGGATTTCCTGCCGTGTGAGCGGCCCCCTCGAATACCCATCAATGCAGAGTCTGTGTGAGTCCCACCCTGCCCCCACCCACAGCAGTCAGGTGCCTGTTGACTCCTCATCTTCTAGGCAAACCCAACCATTTTCTTGAAAAAGTCCAAACGCGCAATCCTCCAACAAGTCCTACCGCTCCAAATCTGACGTCTTTAAGTCGATCAAAAGCAAGTTATATCATCCGATCTGATTGGGGTCATTTAGTTGATTGAACACTGAGCAGAAGCCGAGCTCAGGAAGCAGACTTCATCCCTGCAAAGTCAACCTGATGCCCAACGTCTTTCTTTCCTTTTTTTTGTTTTTCTCACTTTGTCAGACAGTCTGTGGGGAAATTAACTGATGAAATCATGCCGGCAACAGGGTTGCTATAGAAACTTCTCATATGACTTAGGCTGGAGTTTGTCACCAGAGAGAAAACAGAAGAAGGAGAGATGGAGAGACAAAGACAGCGGTGAATACTCACTGGAGAGGCATCAAAGGTTGACTCATTTGCAACACAACATTAATGCCGCGCTTTATTTTCCTCTCTTCCCATAAAGCATCCTGAATGCAATATTCCTGCTTTGGGCTTGCCTGGGA